AGCTGACTTGGGCTAGTTGCCAAACCCTGATCTACACCTGGAGTGGAGCACATTGCACAGATGCTCTGCTATTGGTTCTTGGCAATTACCAGGTGCTGTCTGTGGAGTTTTAGCAGCCTGATGCCCACGGCTTGGTCTTGCTTTTCTTGTTCTTGCTTTGTCACACTCGCTTGTATGTTCACCGAGATAAGAGATTCCTGAAGCCCAGAGGCAGCCCGCAGCCCTGCCTCACACCCACCCCTCAGTGCTGGCTGCTATCTGGTCGGCTCCTGGAGAATGTTTCAAAGCACACTTTTTTTTTTTTGCATGCTGATAGTACTAAATAATCTAAAACAAACACAAGAAACAGCCTTTTTACCCAAAGGGAGAGTTGTAGTGAAGGGAGAAGTTGGTAAAATTGTTGGAATCATAACTGATTTGTGTACTTCTGCATGTTCATACACATCTGTGCATAGTACAGCCTAGATCTGAGCCTTGAACTGCTTGTACTAATTGTGGTAAATGAAAATACGCAAGCACAAATAGTAGAGGAAGTTGAAGATTCCATATGTTGTCATTGTGTAATGATGTCAGCATACAAAGGCTTGAAGGGCAGTGCTCAGAGCTGGAGGTGACCATGCTGGAGGCTGCTGGACGTGTCAGACACAGTGCACACCCCATGGATACAGCAGCAGTGTGCCTGCTGCAGCCAGACATTGGCTAGGGAGCTGATGCTTTGTAGGCTGCAAAACAAATGCCACGGGGCTTCTGTTGAAACAAGAGCTCTGCTTTTTCTGGGCAAGCAGGCTTTAATTCTGATTATCGTGGCAAGCAGATAGAGACAGAAGTGAAACTGTCTCTGGCTGAGAGTCATGTACAGCAGAGCTTTAATGTGAAGTCTGAACTTGCACGTTTGAAAGTTCTAGTGAAGCCAGCAGAATTTTATAGATGGAATGCATTCTTGATAAATCTGTCTACTCCCTTGCAACACCTCCAGTCAGCAGTAGCATTGCCTGCAGTCCTGACTTGCTTTTTGCATAAGCAAAGGCTGAAGATAAGGAGAGAGAAACAATAATAAAAACCTGCAGTCTACAGATTGCCCTGCCCAGAAAGAATTCAGGACTTTGATTCGGCTGCTGTCTCTGCACTATTGCTTTACCCCAGTTCTGTGTGAGTGCTTCTCACTGCGCTCCATCACTTTGTTTGCCTTTCTCTCAGGCTGAATCTGGTGAATTAGGTTTTTCAGTTATTTTTGTCCAACGCTTTTTAGGCTGCAAGTCCTGGATCGCATCTCTCTTCTCTGATTCTCCTCTTGTGCTGAGTTTTCTTTCTTACATGTGTTCTGTAAGTTCTGACTCATTTCAGTCTCATTGTGTATCTCAGCATCTCCCATCGTGCCAATTCCTTCCCAGCCCCATGTCATCTCCATGCACTGTGTTTCTGGGCTGCCTGCCCGTTCTCAGACTCTTCACTACAAGATTTCTAGGATCTGCTCTCTTGAGATTTCTTGCCTTCTTTATTTCCTCTGCTGTTCTAATATTTCAAACCATTTCTCCTTTGGCCATGAGCTCTGTAAGCGCAAGGAACATCAGCAAGTTCTGCATGCTGACTTGGAGCACACTGAGCTGGGCAGGGTGGCAGGGAGCCTTGATGAGGTGCTCCCAGGGGCCTTACTCAGAGCAGAAGGGTCTCTCAGCTGGCTCTGGAGAGCAAGGTCTCTTGACCCAGAAAACGAAGTTTTAATATGCTCCAAAGAACAACATATGCCAAAACTTCCATTTGTTAACAGGCTCACGGAAGGCAGGAGGGAATGGGAAGGTTTTACTCTGGTAGCTTTATGTTGTTCTTCCTATTTGCTCTGAAGGGTGTTTTCCACAGACACGCATGTAAAGAAAGAAGAGCAGGCTAATATGTAGGGGACAAAAAAACAATGCAATTGTTTTTTTTTTGACAACATTTTGTTAAGTACTGTGAACTTGAAACAAGTATGTCAGTTAAAGTGTTCCCATCTGGCTCATTTATTCTCTTTAAATGTAGCTGTACATCAGCCAGCTTCTCTTGCAAACGCATTTCTCACTCTTGCTGGAAGTTGCTTGCTATTTTGATATTTTGTTGCTGTTTTTGCAGCTCCATTTAGGACCAAATGGCTGTTTTGCCTTTTTTTTTAATACAGCAATGTATGAAGTTATGATATGTCAATGTATGTCAGTAAGATACGATATGAACTTCTGTGTTTTAACATTAAATGAACACAATCACACTCTCATACTCTTCCTTTGTGCTTATCTCAGTGGGAGGCAGGTGCAGAAAGAGACACATGTTACAGAACTTGCCAGCCTACGTATGACCTGCTCCAGTCCTTGGGAGAGGTCTGTATCAGACTTGGCAGAGGACAGAAATTTGTTCCAGACTTGTCTTTAGCGTAGCATTGAGGCTGCAACTCCATAGTGTATGTTGCCCAGTATAGATAGCATGGTGATCAATAAGGACTTCTACAAACAGAGAAGAAAACCGCCTTCCCTCCCTCAGGCTAGGATGTTGTGTTATTCATTACTCCACTTATACGTTTGTATGAATAGGACATACGGATACCTTCCTTGTAATCCTTCTGTTTCCATGTAGTAAAGTCAGTCTTGACTTCTGGATAGGTTGAATAACCTTATGTGCCAGACTCAGAGATTGCTTGGGTCATTGTGAAGCTGCCTTTCCACTAAGCTGAACGAGTTTAGGATTGTGCTTTGTATGCACAGATAGTATAGATTTTATATGCAAATCTTTCTGCTTTTGGTGTTCTTTTTGCATAAGAAATGTATCGTATCACAATGTATGACTGATCATATAAGTCATATCCTATTACTTCTTTTACTCTAAACCCTTCTGTAGTAATGTTACCCTCATCAAATTTCCTCGCTGAGGATGTCTGCACCTGCTGATACATACACATAGTTTGATGTGTGTTTGCATATGCAGAAACACAGACTTCTTTCTACGTGCACAGGTCCTATGGAGGCAGAAGCAGCCAGCAGGCAGTCAGTGGTGCTGGAGGTGTTGTGGAGCAGCCGGGTGGACAGCAGGCCATACCGAGTCCGTCCCTGCTGACACACACTGTGTTTTGCACAGTTTGTTTATCTTTGCCTTTGGGCTCATGTAAACTAGAACTGTAGTGATAAATTGTGCAGATTTCTCTGTTACAGATTCTTGAATTCTCCCTTTATTACTTGGTGTACTTATAACGTTTTTTTACTTTATGAATTAGGATTGAAAGCACTGGGGCTCCTGTTTAATTACATTGTGTTTCTTATTACTGCCAGACATGTTCACCACAGCTGGAAGCACTGCAGTGACTACTGAAGGAATTATGCCCCAAGTGGAGTGTGAAGCAGAAATCCCATTGTGCTGTTCTCCAAAGGTTCATGTGAACTGTCTGCTGAACTGTTTCCTCCTTCAGTTCTGGTATTGAACAAGTCCTGATCTGGCAGTACTGTCACTTGGCAGGGCTTACACCTCAGGCACTCTCCTAAGGCTGGCTGCTCTTCTAAGCCAAAATGCCTTAGAACCACAGACTGAATTTGGCTGAAGGATGAATCTGCAGGAGCAGCTGCTTTTGTGCTGGGGTCTACCTGTGTGCTTTCTGCAAGAAGGGTTGGCAGTAGGGCACCAGAACAAGCAGTGAGTGGTTGATAATGGCCGTGGTGTGCACAGCGAGGATCAGAGAAAGGCCGTTCTGTGTGTCTGCTCAGTGGTAGGAATGAGGACAGGGAATATCAGGCAGCAGTACGAGGTGGAAGGCAGCAGTAGATAAAGGCAGAGTGCAGCAGTGGGAGAAGCAGCAGCGCCTGGAGCTCAGGGCTGAGCTGGGTGGGTTTGTTTGCAGATAACACATGTGGCTTTTTGAGACTGTTTAAAATAATTTCTCCTACAGACTGATTTTTGACAGTGATTTAATTGCTGGTGTGCAACTGCACGTGAATTACTGTTTGAACTGTTGTTTGTATTTATCTTTCTCAAATATCCAGCATTAATTCTGGAGCAATAGGACTGTCGAGCTACCATGTATATTGTTCTGATCTGCAAATGAAAATAACCATTAGTTAACATCCAATGGAGTTCATCAGCTAGATGTTTTGGCTGCAACTCTGTTTTATGTGGGCTGAATTTAAATGGGATTGGGGTCAGCAGTAATTTTAGTCTGATCAAGGATGTGGGGTTTGCTTATTGCTGAGCTGTATGCAGATTAGGAAAGGTCAGAGAACTTGCATTAGCTGTAAATGAAAACAAAGATTCATCCATATCTCTATTCTTTAATCATCGCCTTGGGTGGGGATTGTGCTTCTCGAACAAGCGGGCAAAGAAAGGTGGCAGATGTCACTTAAGAGTTTCTGTACCTTTGATCCTTTATTATCCCTTTCCAGTCGGTTGCAGAAAATGGGCTGACGTGTTTCCTGTGCCAGGATGTGCATCCCTGTGCTGGGACGGATCCCTGTGCAGGGGTGGATCTGTCTGTGCCAGGGTGTATTGCTGTGCCTGCTGACCTCCTCTGCCTACAGCTGGGCTTGGTGGGAGGCAAATGGAAAAGCATCACAAAATTCCTCTTGAATCATGGTCAAAACAGAGGCCTTATTTCTTAAATGATTAAGTCATGTCTTCATTTTCATTATGTTCTTGGCACGTGAATACAGAATTTGGAACTGCCAAATTGTTTTTCCATGTTGAAGACATTCTAGCTCTGCTGGTGCTTTGTTCCACTCACAGCCCTCTGCCCACAGAAGTGCAGTGTCTGCTGAGTGGCTGCTTGGTGTGGGAAACTGATCTCTAGGACAAGACACCTGCGCATCTTGTCTTACTTCATAGCACTGGTGCGTAGGAAATAAGTCCGAAGTCATTTAACAGTCACAGTGACTGACTCAACTCTACATGTTTTCCTATTGTTTAAAAAGACTTCTCTGCTAATTTTAGTTATTACTGAAAGAACATTTTAAAATAATCTTTATCACAGATACGCACTTGTCTGCCCCATGCAGGTCTTTCAGAATACAGTCTTTTCACTTCTCTTTCTCCGAAGAAAGCAAGGCAGGACGAAACGTGAAGCATGTGTAAGTGAATTGATGGTGTACAGCCCGGTGGAAAAAGGGGGTCATTTAGGATAAGGAAGAAACCTCTTGAACAGATCTCTGTCTTAATGGCTTCGGAAGTTGCCTGTTTGCTTGTTAATGTGGGTCTTTTGTAACAGCTAGCTCGGCTGCCTGTTTGGCTTTGTGAAGAGCCTTCCATACTGTAGTTTTCAAATACAGAACTAAAACCATGCTGAGCTTTTCTTCTGCCCTGACAAGAGCTTTTATGTATGTGCAGTGGCTGCCTTCCATTTGCTAGCTTGTTCTTCAGCTCCGAGCAAAGCTGTGGATGTGTTAAAAGCAGGCAAAGCAGCCCCATGTCCTGGCAGCACCTCCGCTTAACTGGGAGCAGCATTGCTGCACCTCTGGGAGGGGTGACCCATGTGTTGGTTCATTGTTTGCTTGTCCTTCTCTTGCTTCAATGACAGAATATGTTTTTGCTTTGAGAGGGATAGGAAGAATGGAAAATAGTGCCCTTGATGAAGTGACCTCAGGCTCTTTGTCAGTGGCAAGTCAGTTGTGAATATGGATTTCCTCAAACAAAGGTGCCCTATATGTATGTGCTGACAGTCTGTTAAACATCCTTGGCCTCAGCTGCTCTATCTGGCGGCTCTGGAGGTATGCGAGGCATACAGAGCATCTTCTTGCAGGTACTGGTAATGATGGGTTAAGAATACTAACAGAAGAAATAATCACAGAGTCTGTTTTTTTTTTTTAAGTTACATTTGAATGCACATAGGCACATAACTGATGAGAAGAACTTGCTTCAACATCAACTTGCTAGGCAACGTGCTTGGCATTGCTCTGTGCCTCTCTTTGCAGCCATCCAATCGTACAGCAATGCAAGCTGCCCAGGCGCAGAGCCAGCCCTGCCTTTCAGCTGCGCTCCGGGCTGCCCTGCCATCAAGGTGCTGCATGGTCACATCCCACTGGGCTCCATCGGCCTTCCAGCAGCGTGTCCCACAGGGCAGTGCAGTGCAGGGCTCAGTGACAGCCTGTGCCTTCCTTGGAGCCCGGCCTTCTGCTGCAGCGGGAGGAGCATCGCCTGAGTGCGTGTCTGGAAAAGGCAGCAGCTGTTACAGAGCCAGTGCTCACGGTGTAAAAACCTGATCTGATTTCAGTGGATCGAGTCTGATTCTGTTGTGCTCTCCTTCTAGGAAAAAAAAACCAGGGTATTACTAGAAGCAGGACGGGTGACGCTGGCTGGTCTTTTGATCTCCCGGTGCAGGGAGCTGAGCAGCTGCTCACGGTGGCTCTGATTTCCTGAAGAATTGTGATGTTAGCTGGAAAGTGGTGGAAAAGAAAACAGTTTCTATTGGGGTGTATGGAAACGGGGTTTTGTAGGGTTAAAAGACATGAAACTGGAATGAAATGTTTTTGTTATTGTTACTTTTTCCCTTTCCGTATTAATTTCCTATTGATATAGGACTTCATGTAAATGCAGCTTTTTTAACTGAAGATTTGATTTCTTTCCTGTATCCGAACTGTATATATAATGATACAGAATAGAGAAGAACTGAGAAACCTTTTTTGTCTGTCTTCACCAGAGCATTTGATTCAGAATATAACCAAAAATACAATGCTGAATATATTTTTATTTAAAATACTTCTGGATGCAGAAATGCCAAGAGTTAATTAAAGCAGGTATAGAGTGCTGAAAAATATTTTCTTTCTGAAATCATAACCATGAATTAAACTAAATGCATAATTAGGAATCAGAGTTAGACCATACAGCCAAAAGGCAGAAAAAGGTTTCTAATTATCTTGTGATTTAAATACGTTTTTCATTCAAAGAAAGCCTAAAAATAGCCTCTCTTACAGCCTGAAGTTTTGCAGAGCCCTGTGGTAATGCAGTGTACCTCTAATAAATCTGTCCTCCTGTGTTGCAAAGATCTCCAAGTGCTCATCTGAGAAGCTTGCTGTCTGTGTTTCTCCCTGAGCTGGAACCACTGGGGCTCTGTGCTGTAGTTTTGGATGGCTGATAGTGCTGTGTTTAGTCCAAAAACATTACTGTGTTTTTTATCCTTGTGATGGGACTCTGCTGTTGGTGGTTTACTTAAAACAAAGGCAGATGCTGGCTGTGGTGCTGGCTGGCCAGCTGAAGCTATCTGGGGTATTTCAAGTATTTCTGGGTTTTCACTGGCAAGGATAAAAACATCTGTAGCTGTCTGTCCTTAAAGCTGCTGCTTCTGGCTCAGCTATTCCTCTTGGAATTCCCAGGGTGTTTGGGAATGCTGGCATTGAGGGCATGCAGCAATGCCATCATTGGCTGTTTCAGACCCCGGTCCTTGTAGTATGAGGTACTGCAGTGGATGTTATCTTTGCTAGAAATAAAGTTAAACATCAACACAGAGAAAACAGAATCAGGGTACAGAAAGGCTGCGTGTCTGTTTCATTACAGGATATGCATGTCTTCGTTCTGCAGAAACTTTTCATCCATTTAATCAGTGCTTCAGTATATCCTGAGGGCCATTCTTTCCTCTAAAAAGTTGATTTTATTCCACTAAAAAAGCTGCAGTTAAGGCTGCCCCGCGCTTTGGGAGAGACAGCATTTGGTTCACACTGCAACCTCTCAGCACGGCTTAAGCTCAGTGTGGAAGGAACTGCAGAACTCCCCTTTGAGTTCCAGTCCTGCGTGTGAGTGGTGGTTTTGTTGTATCCCCACTGGATGCACTTAAATCTCCTTAAACCCCAGCTTAAAAATGAATTCTAAATCATTAAACTCCTTTATGAGCATTTAGAAGGGAGTTTGGACAGGCTGAGCTGAACGGATCATAAAGGATTGCTGCTGGAGAGGTGTGGGTTGTGCCGGGGCTCAGGCTGTAATATAAGACCACATTCCTTTCCTGTGAGCTTTACTGTATGACTGCTGCCAAGTCACAAGAGTCCATAAAGGCACTTGCAAGCTGATAGACAGTTAAATCCATGGAGAGCATCTGGAGGGAAGCAGGCTGCTGGACGGGAAGGAGCGTCCTCTCCATTCAGCGTGTGAAAGTCCATTGCTTGCAAGCATTTGTGTCTGGTATCTGACATCCCTGAGCTAGGTCTTGAAAACAACTGCTCTTTTCAGGAAACCCATATAACCCACAGTGAGGTGATGAAGATCATTCATTTTGGTTGTTTTCCTATTTAAAAAATCCAACAAAACTATTATACAGAGCAAGCAGACGCCAAGCTTGGTAATCTGGCTTTGTAACACTTGTTCTTCTGTTTTCTCTCAGAGAAAGAGTGTTCTCTTTATTTCATTCTAGCTTCTGGCTTCCGTCACCGAAAGCACCAGGGCGCCCTGCACCACAGCAGTGCCTGGGAGCACCACGTCGTGCTGCTGGGCTCTGCAGCCTGCAGGGCCAGCATGGGCAGCCCTGCTCAGCATTCCCTTTTCTTGCTTGTCCCGGCTGTAGAGGGGTGAGGAACACACAGAAGTAAGAGCAGGAGGCAGTTTCTGGAATCACAGAGAAAGTGCTGCCTGCAGTTCTCTTTGTACGTTTTCCATGTGATGACACAAATGTTCAGTTTTTTTTCTCTTGCTTTCAGACTGCAATTTCAGTAACTTATGTCTTTCCTCTCCTGGGAAGTTGAACGAAGATGTAAATGATACATAAACCCATTGATGCCACATATAAGTCCAGGAGTACATATTTAATAGCACTCCCTAAAGCCAGCTGAGAAGCAGCTGTGTTCCTACGTGTTCCGTACAGCTCATCTTTGTCTCCATGGACGCCCAGTGGAGTGCCATGCTAACTTCCAAGTGCTTGCAAGGCCTTTGTAAAGGCAGGGGAGCCTCTGGGCAGGGCTGTTCCCAGCTTGGTACAGCACAGGCTGTCAGTGCTGGGCACTTCGCAGCACGCGATGCTCGGCCTGCTGCTGGGACGGCCCTGTGACTCCATGTTTTTCCTGAGTGACTTGAAAAGTATTTAAACTCACTGCTAACATCCATAGAACAGCTTGTTCCCCAGAGCAGCTCTGCTGGGTAGAGTTTCTGCTTTGGGACCGAAATACCCGTTTCAAGGTCGCAGTCGCCTTTAGGTTGATTTCTGTATAAACTAGTCTGATTTTGAGACCAACTGAAAAGCAGAAGTAATATTTTGTCTAAGGAGACTCATGTCATAGATAAAGATAATCTCAAAGGGCTGCTCAGGCTGAGTGCCTTAGCTGTTCTCCCTCAGACAGAGGCCTTTGGCAAGGCATCACTTTGTCTGTCCGTATCTTTTTCCCCCTCTTTTTAAATTCAGACTTCTTCTTTTGGGATTCACTTCCTGGCTTGGGAAGTGTCTCTCTGTCCTCATCTTTTTTTCTTGTTAGTCAGTGTTGTACGAATTCTCACACATCTCTGCTTCTGATATGCTTGTTTAAGATGAAGGTGTTTCTTTACTTTCTTGCCATACAGGCTTCTACACACCCCTTCTCCTTTTTTTCTTCCTCACTCCTGCACCTGTCAGTTCTTGAATTCCAGTGCCAGAACCTCCGTTTGCAGACTCTGCAATAAATGTGCTTTGTAAACTGTGCGTGTGCAATACCTTGCAGTACTGAGCCCCGTGCAAGCACACAGCTGTGTCAGTGTGCTGGGGTTCAGGTGTGCTCCTTTGCTGCAGGAGGAAGCACTCTGGTGTGTTACTGTAGGAAATGCAGTGCTGGCTCAGTGTCAGAAAAGAAACCCAGATCCTCTGCCATGGTGTTCACTAATCTGAGGCCCTCAGAAAGGAGCTCTGCGTGGACAGCTGGAGATGTGCTTTGTAGAGGAGAGAGAGTAAGCTGAAGAGAACTCTGATGTTGCTGGTTCTGTTTCCTATTGCACCAGTGATGCAAGAGATGTAGCAGAAGCGGGGCTGGATTGTGTGCTTCGCTGAGCAATCCTTAATATAATGACTTCTGGACTACTTCCAAAATTACCTGAATGAGATAGGCTACAAAAAAAGAAATCAAAAAATCAAACATGGGAGAAGAAAAATACAACAATACAACAGTACCAGGGAATCCCAAATTTTTGTTTGGTATCCATTGTCTGACACTGGCTTACACTTCATTCTGCAAAAGTCACTCTAGATACTTTTTTTTTTTTTTTTCTTTCTGCTGAAAAACGATGCTCAGTGCTGATAGGAAAAACCAGCAGACGGAGGCAGGGTTGGAATACAAAAGATGTAGATGTAGTTCACTGCCATGTCAGGAGGCTTCCTCATTGCCCTGGACATGTGCTTGATGTGTTTGGAACCCAGCAATAAAGTGGGAAGAATTGCAGAGGGCAGTGACAGAGCTGGAGGTCACCAAGTAGGAAGACAAGGACTCTGAAGAGATGCTTGAGTTGTGTTTGCAGTCACTGTGCTTTTAGCAGAGAATTGCTGTATCTGAGTGCTGAGATGTGCTTTGGGGTTTTGTGGACTTGTGTTTCGTGTGTATATGCACATAAAGATGTGTGTAGCTGGTCAACATTTATTTTGGTAGAGCTGTATGGATTCTTATGCATTGCATATTTAATTGCATTCACTATTAATAGGATCCAATCTTAATTAATATAAGGTTCTTTTAGAGAAGCAAATGAGAACAATTTCAAGATCTACTGAAGAAGAAAGATAATGAGTTCCAAAAACGATGGTGTAGTGGATGAGAAAATGGATTTAACAAAAGTTGGATCTGGGATGTGGCCTTTCTTTTTAAGGATCTTGCAGGAAACAGAGCTGTAAAGGGACTTTGAAGCTCTGTACGGTAGGTTAGGAAATAAGCCATAGCCAAGGTGATGGAGGAGCAAAGGGCTCAGATAACTTTTATCATACTGTTTCCTAATGAGAAGATCACTCAATTGATGGCTAGAAAGTAAGAACAGAAATCTGACTGAAAACGAGTTAGACTTGAGCTTAATGAAGCTGTACTGCTGAATTTCAGCACGCATCAACAGATCGAATCCTGACGGCTCAAATGGATTTGAGTTAACTGGCAGGTTCAGGGCTGAACCTCATAGCTGGAAAGGAAAATGCCATTTTTTGCAGCATGTTTAGATAAGGAATGACCTTATGAGTGCTGATACTGACCAAAAAGGGATGAACTCCTTACGTGGCTTGGAGAGCTTATTGTGCATTGTACAATGCCATGGAAAAGAACTGGTGAAATGAGAGAGCAGGTTCTCATGTAGCTCCCCCGGGCATGCAGTCAAACTTACAGTTAGTCAGGTGCAATTAGTCATGGGCAGCCAAAATCATGGCCTTCAGTACAGAACTCCTGCAGCCTTTCATGGAGCCAGGACCTCACCCGTTACACGTGTTGATGCATAGTTTCCACTGGAGAAACCTCAGCCAAGAAGCTCAGTGAAGCGTGGAGTCTGAAAGTAGAGTACAAATGGCAAACCTGAATTTAAGGAGGAGAGGCATACTTCAGTGTCACCTCGCTAGAGAAAAACAGATAGAAGCTTCCATGCCTCACACTCTGCTTCTCCTCATTTTCTGATTCTGTTGCTATGGCATTCATCACATTCCAGTGTTTTTCATGCAGCAAAGGGACAGCGTGGTGCATCACTCTGAGTTCTTGGCTGTCTGGGTGCCTGGGTCAGCTGCAGCATTTCTGACAGTCAGCCCAATTTAGGTGAGTCAGTACATAGGGCGTTTAACCTGAGAGGTGCAGGTTTCACAGCCTCAGCCTCCACTTAGGGCAGGTGTCCTGCATGGAGCTGGGGCACATGGTCTGCCTGGTGCACGGCAGGAGGGAGCTGTGTGCTCCTGGGAGCCCCTCCGTCACTGTCAGTCATTAAAGAAGATGGTCAGAAACATAGTGGTTCTTCAGATAGTTTCTCAATATTCTTAGTTTTGATAGAAACAGAAAGTTCATCCCTCCTTTTTTTTCTTCTTCTTTTTTTTTTAACAGGGAAGAAATGTTAGCTCCTTGGAAACATGCCTGCAGTAATGACTGCCCCTTCCCTGTCACTTATTCAGGCGTTGTCTGGGCAATGTGCAGGCAAAGAAGGAAAAAAAGAAGAAAATAGCATCCTTCAGCTTCAGAGACGTGGTTGTGCAGGCTCCCAAGCTTTCTGTCGTTTCTAGTAGCAACCACAAAATATCTTCAGCTGTGGCAAGCATTGCTTCAGTCCTTTTGTTTGGCAGTGTTTGAAGCACCTTATCTTCCTGCTAGGCTCTTTAAATAGCAATATCTTCTGAACTATTTGTCTTCAGTTAAAGGAGTTTGTGTCTGCGTTTTTCAGACCGTTCTCCTATGGAAAGGGCATTGTTAGCAGTAATGAGATGAAATTCACTTTCAGACATGTAAATGGAATATTAAAACTGGAAAAATACCATATAGAAATAAGTTGGAGATGGGTGGACTCGATTTTTGATTTCACAGTTCTCTTTTATGATTCTGATTCACTGCACGTTGTGTGCGCAGACATGCAGGTAGGTGTGAATTTTGGAAAGTTTGATAACCTTTAGTAGAAATAACCCACCTGAGCAGCAGACCTTGTCACCCAGGGCCTCGTTATCTCCATTGAAGTCCCTGCAAGCTTTACTAGCGAAAGTGTCGTAGATACAAAACTTGTTAGAAAATTAAAAGTAACCAGAAAGGAGTTCAAACAACTCTACTGAAGTAAGACAGGGCTTCCATATCTCAATTTAAAATCCCCTCCCATCCCAGACTCGATCAGGATACTGAAATCTCAGGTTCTCCCTGCTGGAAGATTCCCGGGCACCTCAGTGAATGGCGGGCGCCAGGCAGCTGCTGGAGGTGGTCTCTGGATCTGCTTCTGATGCAGCAAATCAGGATCTTGCTTTAGATGTGATGCTGCATACAATGAAAGCACCAGTTACTGCTGTGTCCCATTAACTTACGCGGACACTGCCTGAAGGACCCCAAAGGCACACTGATGGCGTTGGAGCGACTCGCAGTCTGTTGCTTCTAGACAGTGTGCACCACTGGCTGTTACTGGGAGCTGCTGCGAGGCAAGGGATAGGGAGAGAAGAACATTGCAGTGAAACGTTTTTCATACTCAGTGGCTAAAACAAAGGCAGTCAGAACACCAGCATTGACAGATTCTTTTTTCCTACTGTACAATCTGTTTTTTTCTCCTGAAAGCTTTTTAATTAATGCTACAGAGCATTAACTTTTGCTGATTATTGCAACAACAGCAAAAACAACTAAGAGGGAAATGGGAAGAACCAAGGAACATACCTCGTGCTGATTGATTTATAGTTACAATTCAGCTGAACAACAGCTGTAGTTGTGCTGAAAAGAAAGGGCAGGGGGGCAGAAGGGGGAGGCTGTGTCCCATCCTGGTGGCTGTGAGCACAGAGGCCTGTGCCTTCAGATTGTGTCAGTGTAAGTTAATGGGATGCAGCAGAGCGCAGAGGCAGAGCAGCCTCTCCAGCACAGCCCTCGTGGCAAGAGGCATCACTGCCTTGTTGGGTTCGCATCCCTGCCACAGAGGGGAAAACAGCAGAAGGTGAAGAAACTCACGGGTGACCGGGCTGCATCCAGGTGTCCTCTGTCCCTGCTGTTGTTGTGAGGCAGTGAGAGCCCTATTCATTCGTGCATACTAATTACGATGGAGACTTGCACTAATCTGAGAACACTTGGCTCATTTTCAACTGACTGTAAACAGGCTGCCGGAAGTCACGAAAAGAGTCTAAAAAGAACGTTATCGATATTGATATTTCCTAGCTGCTGGTTAATGCAGGAGTAGGACTGTGCAGATAGCAGAGCAGCCCTGAGCTCTGAGCCCTGCTTGTGCAGGAGGGCAGTACCACACAGCACAGCTCCCAGCAGCTGTGCAGGGTTGTTCTGCTGCAGTCAGTGTCTGTGAGCAAAGCTTCTTGCTTCGCGTCTCCTCATACCCCAGAAACAGCTGGGACAGAGTACTGATAAAGGTACCATATGCCATGAAAACGTGCTGAATGAGCAGCCAACCATCTGCATGTGGTATCAGGAGAATACAGGGAGTAAGAACAACATGGCAGCAGCTTTGTGCACTGCTTTGCGGTTCGGTAACCCAGGACCAGCCCTGTAAAGGCTCTAACCACTGTCAGACTTTTGGATATGTTGAAGCCTTACGGGTACATGTGAGCACTGAGCGCAGGAAGGGCAGCTCTGGAGTGGCTGTGTGCACCACCATCCAGCTCGCTCAGTTAGCGGCGCACTGAGATCTGTGGCAGAGGTGGTGATGCTCAGAAGCACGCTCTTGCTTTGAGTGCAGGGAGGGATGAATAAGCTTTCGTTTTCCTTGTTAGGTTCTCAGGGAATAACCATGTTCACCACTGAGCCTATCTGTGTGTGCCTTGTGCTCATCTGCCTGGTAGCAGCCATGATAAGCACTCTTCTGGGGGTTATTGCAGTTTGGTGGCAGCTGGGCCCAGAAACGCTTTCTGCTTTGGTTCAAATTCATTACAGCAGCTGGGGGGTTGACTTAGTTTGCAGTAGGTGTTCACGGCCATTAACGGGGCTGAACTGGTGGCCCCACAGACACAGCTGGGTGCTGCTCTCACAGGTTTCGTTGCTGTGTGCAGTGCTGGGGGTGCTGTGCTGGGCAGAAACACCTGTGTGCCATCTGTGAGAGCCCTGCAGGTGGGCACGTTCAGCTCAGTTCATTTGTACTGATCTGACACTGAGAGCTTACTGACTGTGGGGTGTCAATAACTGCCCTTCAATTTCCTTGTTTTAAATTACACAGTTGATTCTACTTTCGTTACAGCTTCATGTTTATTGCAAGAGCCTATTTCTTTAACACTGTGCATAAAACCAAGTGCTGAGGTGGCCCTTCAGAAACAGGAATTACCCTTGGAGTTGCATCATATTTAATAAGTACGTACAACTCAGTAATCTCGTAAAAGCTGATTACCTCGATTATTAATAATTAGGATTTATGAGTTAAGTAATGTGCTGCAACTGTGTCCTATTGGCAAATCCATATGGAAAGCTTAGAGATTATTTTAGAAATGTTCTTTATAGCTGCCGTGTAAGGCGGTGCAGTTCTGAGTGACAAACGGGCACTTTGGGGTGTGAGTTGTGTGAAGGTGCTGCGCCAACGTGGCTTCGTCTCAGCAGTGAGAATCACATCAGGTGGTTCCAGCGTGCTTTGCTTCCTTTTATTCTCATAAAGATTCTGGTTAAACGTGGTTACCGAGCTCAGCCCCGCGCGAGCAGTGCTGCCGCGGGCTGGCAGTGCCCTGTGCCACGCATCCCCGCAGCTCCCTGCTGTTGTGAGCTGCCCCGGCCCCGCTGCTCTGCTGCCCGCTCTGCGGCGGCGTGGCCGTAGGGCCGCAGCGCCTCGGCTGCTGCTCCTTTGGGGCTGAAATCTGGAGAAAGCAAGGTTGTGCCTTGCAGCTGGGGGCAGGAGGGGCGCTCAGCGTGGCAGAGCCTCGGCTGCCCCGAGCCGCTCTCGGTTTCCTGAAGGTCGCTGAGATGTGAACGCGGAGGGCGGCGAAGGCAGCGCGGACGGTGCCGCGGCGTGCAGAGCAGCCCGGCCTGGCGCTGAGCGTCCTGAGGCGGAGGGCCGTTCCCGTGCCGCACCCCCGGCAGGTGCGCCGGCAGGGCGGACTCCCAGCCGCGTTCCCGCTGACACGAACCGGCGGGCGGTGCCGGGGAGCTTACCGGAAAGGTGCCGCGGTCGCCGCTCCGGGCTGCCGCCGCGAGCCGAGCGCTCGTGCGGTGCTCCGCGGGAGACTCGGGGCGGGCGCGGGGAAGCCGCTCGGCGCGTTGTCACCCGGCAGCCCGCGGGGACGCGTTCTCACGTTAACGCCGAGGCGAATTGCCTCGCTTTGCCGGAGCCGTGCGGGGCGCGGGCAGCGGTGCCTGCGGGGCGGGCGGCGGCCGTGCTGGGGCCCCGGCGGCGCCGCGCGGAGGTGAGGCCGCGGGCTGGGATCGAGCCGGGCCGGCTCCTCCTCCTCCTCCTCCCCCCCTCCCGTCCCGGCGCGGGGTTGCGCCGCTCGGAGGGCCGATCCGCGGGGCGGGACGCGGCGCTTCCGCCTCGGGGGAAACGGCGATGGACGGTGGCGGCGGGGCGCTGGGGAAGAGGAGAGGCACCGCGCGGCCGCACGGCAAGCCCCGGCCGCAGTCCTGCCAGAGCCCCGGCGGGCTGCTCGTCACCGACTTCCCGGTGGAGGACAGGTGCGCCTTCACGCTCGCACAGCCCGCGGCCACCGTCAGCGCCGTGCCCCGGGGGGGTTCCCCGCGCCTCCCCGCCCGCGTGGGTTCCGAGCCGCCCGCCGGGCTGCTGGCGCTGCTCTCCAGCGCGTCCCTCGGCTTCGTCGCCAACGGCGCTTTCCCCGCACCCGGCGGCCCGCCGCCCCGAGGGGCTCGCGGAGAAGCCGAGGGCACCTCCCGTGCCATGACCCCGGAGCGAGGCGTCGCACCCCCGGCCCCGCTCCCCGAGCAGCCCGCCGTCACGCTGAGCACCCACAGCCCCGCCGCGCTCAAGGTGGGCACGCAGCAGATCATCCCCCGCAGCCTGGCGTCCGACAGCAAGGCGACCCACAAGGGCGGCGGGCACCACAGCGCGGATGCCGGCAGGAGGCTGCTGAAGGCGCGCAGCATGGTGGAGAGCCCCGGGGTGCCGCTGGGCGCTGATGAGGAAACGGAGGGTGAGCCGGACAGCCCGGGCGTGCTGCGGCGCGGCCTGCGCTCCACCTCCTACCGCCGGGCCGTGGTGAGCGGCATCGACCTGGACGGCTCTGCCAACTTCAAGAAGAAAAACAGAATGTCTCAGCCCATACTGAAGGCCGTTGTTGAAGATAAAGAGAAGTTTTCCAGCCTGGGGAGGACAAAGGTAATTGTGCTGTGCGGCGGTGCATTGGTTTGGGTGCTGCAGGTTACACACTGGCACAACTTGTCGCCTCCACTTCTTCTGTAAGTGCTCCTTTACTTCCAGTTTCCTTTTTGATACCAAAGCCTCTTTGTAATCGCTGTCGAGTCCCGCAGATGGCTTGAAGTGGTGCTTCCAAAGCAGCAGCAGGGATGCTCCGCGCAGCTCCCAGCGTTTGCTGCCAGCTTGGTGCTGCCCTGGCCTGGAGGTTCTGTGTCACAGTCCGTGATGCTTCAGAACCTGCAGCCGGATAGCAGTAAACAGGAAAAGAGGACGACTGGTTTTGTTAGGTTCTGATCGCTGGAGTAAATAGACAGAGAGAAAAATGAAGTTCCACCTTGCTTGGAGGCACTACTTTAAAAGCATTTGAAGAAATGGAGCAGAGTGCCCAGCGTTAATTGCTGATGAGCCCTAGGGATGGTGCATTTCTGTAGTGTTAATGCATTAAAATTATATTATTAAGCCTTGCTACAAACAATTCTTAAATGTCATCCTGTCCTGATCTCGTGGTTCGTTTTTTAAAATGATTTGTTACTTTTATTTAACGTAGTGGTAGATTTGTGCAGCGTTGTGGAATCGTGCAGTAGATCCACGCAGAGGGGCTCATTTGGAGCTGCTGAAGTCCTTATCAGCTTTGTGACAGTTTTTGCCAAATTAAAGATGACGGTTTTGGAGGCTTCTGTGAAGGTGGAAGCGGTGCTGAAGCAGTGATAGATGAGAGCTGGTCCTGCAGGAGGGGTTGGCTGGAGCCGTGCAGCAGTGTGTTTGACCAGCAGCAGCAAGGAGCGGAGTCTGAGGCGGGATGCCGTGACACTGCCTGACTTCACATGCAGACTTTTTGCCAGTAGCACTTTTCTGTGAAAACTGACTTAATGGGCCTTACAGCACCACAACAGCCGTTCTGTTTCAGAGCCCTGTTTTGGTTCTCAAAATCTGTGTTTATGAAACTCTTCATGTGGCTCTTTGCAGAGTGTGCAGAGCTGCGCACGGCTCAGCCTTGTGTCTCCTGGGGAAGCCCTGAGACTCTGAGCTCACGGAGCTCTCGTGTCGTAATGCACGAAATGCTTTGGAAGTGTGAGGAAAATAAAACATTTGGGACAAATGTATATAAACAGTGTGTGAGAGGAGGAAAGTCCAGAGCAGCCCTTTGCAGTTGTATTCGTGAGCACGTGTCTGACAGAAAAGTTTCTGGAGGAAGTCCTGCTCAGTCTGTGCTTGAGTATGGGATGAAGTTGTTGTTACTGGTGGTTATTTTGTTTTCTTTTAACATGTTTATGTCTCCTTCCTACAAAATTATTAGAAGAAAACGCTGAAAGGACAAGGGACGTTTGATGGGGAAGGTAAGCCTGTTTCTGTACATTAAGAGGTGCTTAATGACAAGCAAAGTGAACTTAAACATAATTTTGCACGCTTCCTTATTACTTGATGACACCGAATACCTTGTTTGCCAATAAATTCACTGCAGTACGGAGCCATAGTTCTGGCACAGCTGTACTTTAATGGTTACTTTAAAGAATATAGAATGATGGGTTACAAATGCATTTTGTTCGAAGAATTTCTTCTCAAATTAAGTTCCTGTTCCTCTTAAGCTCCTGTTTCTCTTAAAAGATGAACTGGTTGATGTGTCTCAGCCTCAGCAGACCTGCAGGGGAGGTGTAGGTGAGGCTGTTTTTCCAGCTGGCAGACACAGCTCCCATGGGTCAGCCTCGGGGTCAGCACTTGCAACAAATGCCTGGATTGTTATTCTGAAAGTTCAAGGCTAATGCAGCTTTTCCCTCCTTTTCACTGTGAGCAGAATGCTGGTTCCACTGCAGTGAATCCCTCGATTTTGTAAATCCTTTACTTTTTTTTGCTACCTGGGCTTCAAATTTCAGTGTCAGAGAAAAGCTGCCCGTGTATCTGCCCTCTCATGTCACTCATTAGTTCAGAGCTTCCTCGGGTTTGCTGTTTACAGTATTCAACACAAAGAACTTTTTGCCTGGCAGCAAATCTGTGGCTGTCACAGTGAAACTGCTGTCACACAACGGCTGCTGCTTCCCTTGGCCCTGCTTAATGGCTCCTGAGGACATCTCAGCTGCTGCCTTCCCTTCCCTTCCCTCTTGCTTCCATCTTCCAAACTTTATGCAGTGTCCAGTTTGCATCTCTCTGTTTCTTATTTTCATCTTTTCGTGCATTGTCTTCTAATTACTTCCCTAGATTCCATAGTGCCTCTCAGCATGCAGTTATTGTAAGGGATTTCCTGTCTTCAGAGTATACAGATGACACAGATGCGTCCCAAGGAACAAACAGAAGCCCGGCGCAGTGCGGGGCCGAGGGGCAGAGCAGACCCGTGGGGTGGGAGCTGATGGCTGCAGGTGTGCCCCACAGCGCCGTTAGTGCAACCTCTGTGCGTTACTCAGCTCCTAAAGCTCCCTGGCCTTTTCTGAGTGCTTTTGAGAAAGCAACCAAGGAGGTTGGGAAAGGCAGAGGGCGTGCTGCTTGTGGCCTTTGTTACTAACGGGCACTGCTGGAGCTGTTAGAAAGCATGGTGTCTTAAAATTCATAGGCTTTATTCTTACTCAGGCAACCTGTGAAGTTTCTGTTCGGAATAGTTCTGCCTTGAGATTTCTGAAGCCTGGGTCATTTCCTTCTCTTAGTGAGCTGGGAAGGCAGTATTTAAAGCTCGTGGAGTAGAAGTGGGAATTGGTATTGGATTTACAATGGTCTTTCTGATGAAAATTGCTAGACCTCCTGATTGATGACTGCTCTGCTGACAGCTCATTCTGTTTTTTAATTGCTGGCTAATTATGAAACGTCATACAGCAAACCAAGGACGAAAAAATTGTTTTCTGTTTTTTTCTTGACAAAGGACACATCTGTTCTTTAATGCAGTCAGTGTGGATCTTATTGGTAGCGTTACAGTGATCCATTGTTACTGTACTGCTCCATTGTCCATCCTAAATAAGATGCAATCTTTGTCTTTCGGAATTTGAGAACAGCACGTTGACATTTTCATTTCTTTCGTTGTTTAAGTGTGACTTATTTTTTATGAAAAGCAACTATATCACCTTGTAGCACTTAATGGCACATTGTTATTGCTTTATAGAAAATGCTGTGTTGTATCAGAACTACAAAGAAAAAGCTCTGGACAACGATTCTGATGAGGAGTCTGAGCCCCGAGAGCAGAAATCAGATGAAAAGGTTGTTTTTCCCTATAAGCCCCTGAGATCAACATGGAGTCAGCTATCAGTTGTGAGTATTTAATCACTGCATAGCCAGACAAAGGCTATCTGAGTCGCTCAGAATGCACAGAAGCAAATCTACTTGCTGCTGAGTCTTTTATCATCATTTTTTTTTCCTTTCCACAATATAAAGTTTCTGTGGGTTCTTCTATCAACAAATTTATAACAGCTAAATTGTTACCAATCCAGGTTGTGGTTGTGCAGTTTTAGATTTTATTTGGATCTTGTGCAAGGTAACTCCATTAGCTTAAAAAGCACAGATCATGTTCTCAGTCAATTTCAGTTGGTTTAGACTCAGGCTCCTGCCAGAATCATTTTCTGTGGTGCCACTCTGTCATTTGCTGGCACAAGTGTGTGTAGGCTCACAAGGGTACAGGATCTGATTTGAAGTGACCAAGAAATTCCAGTGCAGTTTAAAATGGAACTTTGAAGTGCAGAGGACTTTGGATTTCATAATCTAACACTTTAAGGTACATTTCTTTTTAAAACTGTGCTGGACAAAAGAAATCAAGCACATCTCTTTTGTTTGTGTGTGTAGTCTGAGACCTTTAGCCAGGCTCCAGAGATGGCGGCTTCAGCCCTGCCTGCAGGTGGTGGTGGTGGTGCTGGTCCTTAGAAAAGCTGTGGCTGTGAATGGGGATGTTGAGTCAGTACTGTTTGTAGCCTGGAAGGAGGTTCAGCCCTACCAGCGTGCTGTCTGTAGGTTGGAGCAGCATGGAGCAAACCTTAAATAGCTTTTAGTCCCTTCTTCTTCTTTTCTTTTCTTTTTTTTTTAGCTAGCCTTTGTTATTCATTTGTGAGAAAAACTTGAATGTCCTGATCAGGTATTGGTCTTTTCCCTGCTGATAAGCAGGAAAGTCATTGATGCCTGTAGCTGTCACAGTATACATAATTCTGAGACCAAGGAAAGAACAAAATGCTGGTGTTCCTGTTGTTACTGTCATCTTTTGATTTTTCTGTGACTTCTGGGGGTTATCCATAAAATTGTCATTTTTCTGTTTCTAACTTCTAGAACCTCATCTTTATATATGACGTAAGGAAAGATTATTATCATACGGAAAGATTATTATCATGATGGAGAATATTTGACTGTTGGTACTACTGTGTTTAATAACTATTAATGCTGAGTAAGATTTTCTTAGTCTATCTAGATTGTCTTTTTAGAAGAGCAGTCTTACAGATGCTGGTGACCTTGTGGTTCAAGGTATTGAAATATGAATATCTCTCTGAGTCGTTAATTATAAAGAAGCCAAGACAGTATGGTTTTAAAAAAGATCTGCTTTGAATTTTCTTTCAGCAGATTGAGTACTTAAAATGTAGTTCATTTTGCTTAATACTGCAAAAACATTGTTTCTAATGAGGGCAAATTGGTTTTCTTTTGCCTTCTAGGCAAACTAGCAGTTAAGTGCTCAACAGCTGAGGTATTTCAGAAGGAATGATAGTCAGTACTAATGATTGCAAAAATGCTAATTTGTCTTGAGACTGAAGTAGAATTGTCTCAGTGAGAACCAGTGGTGTGTTGTGCTTACAGTTACATAAACCAAACTTGTTCTTCACCATTTCTAACACGGCAAACTTGTTCCGTGTCTGTACTTGATTTACAAGGCTTGAAGTGGGAAGTAAATGGGAAGAGGTGCTCTGTGCAAATCAAGGGTGGGAACCTGTGAGTCTCACAGTGTCTCTGTTTACAACTCTTTGGAAAAAGTATGTGTTGTCATTTTGTATTAAAAAGAGTAAGTGCTGAATTGTAGCAGGAAGTCAGCTGGGAAATGCTGAAGCACTGGGTTTCAACATGCGTTAGGAAAGGCAGTGTGTAGGAGGTGTCTGGTCCTTGTTAGCAGTGACTGTGCTAGGAGATGAGGGGAAAGACCACAGAGCAAATCCATCTCCTCTGTGGGATGTCTCTGGCCATGCAGCCCTGACAGCTGATGATGGTCTGCTTTTGGAGGTGAAACCTTCACGTATTGAGTTGTTAAAGCCTTTAGACCATAATAAAAAGGTGCTTCTATCTTCTTGCAGCATATACACATACGTGGAAGTAAGAGACTTTTCAAAGAGCTTTTGAAGTCCCTGAAGTGGGATGGTGTTTAAATGCAGCTCCTTTCAAACTCCTCCTTTGAGCCTTCTTCCTCTTTAGGTTCCTGTGGCACTTTGAGCCAGCTTATCTGCTCCCTGTTCTTTCCAGCCTTCCTCTGGTAAAGTTTTAATTTGAAGAGAATAAACAATTTTTCTAAAATACATTCCAAAAGCATCTTAAAACATTTTTTTTAAGAACTCACAGCAGTCATATGCAGTGGTACTGTCTGGTGCATCGTGTGAAATGTATGACTGCAGCAAACACTGCGTTCAGCTGTGCTGGGTAATACCAACGTGGTGCTGGGTGTGCAAGGAGCTGCAGGACCCAGCAGGCAGGAGGGCAGAGCTTGAGGTGTCTCTGCTGGAGTGCACTGCCCAGGGGGATCCAAACAGCCCTCACCTCCATGGGCCGCCTGCGCTCTAGTCTGACCGCATCTCCTGTAGGCTGGGAGCTGCAGTGCCTGCCTTTCCAGGTCCTCTGAGCCTGGAGAGCACAGTGCACGTTTGCTTTTTGTTACTGCAGTCAGTGCTGCCCTGATTCCTGTCTATTTCTACCTTGTCATCTTGTGGTTTTTTTCCTCATCTTTTTAGACTGCTGTGGGACAAGCACTGTTGTGATTTTCCTCTCGTGTTTATTAAGCAAGTTGCTTCTCTGAGCCACCCTCACCGTGACCTTCCATGACTGCCTCTTCCCTTTGTGTCAAGCAACAGCTGCCTGCCTCAGGGCTGATCTCTGCATTAGCTCCCCTTTCAGAATCAGAAGGCTTATATTCATTTTGGTTTATGGTGTAGCCACCATTTGTCAATGAAATATTTCATGTGAGTTCTTCTTTCCCCTGTGTAGCTATTTCTTTAGAGGAATGTCCTGTACCTAAGTGTGGGATTAATCCCTCGTTCTTCTCCATTCCTCCTCCTGCTGTCTGGTGGGCTCCATCACAGCTGAGCTGTGGGCAGGAAGCTGTGCAGTCCTGGGGAGGCACAATGGAGCTGGCCATTGTGGTGTCCCTTGTAGCTTTCTTGTTACTGTCTTCTTAGCCTATATTGAGTCCTTGTGGATGGCATAGCACTGCAAAAGTGCTTTTTAGAGTCTTAAAGCTAAAACATTTTGGGCACCTCAAAAATAAGAGTGGTATTTTTTTCACAGAGCACTACGAAATTGGTCTCCATATTTGCACCTCTGTTTGGAAGCTTGAACATTGATTAATCAGGAGCTTGAGCCGTTTTGCTTCTACAACTAATTTATACGTGCTCTTTGGTATGTGCAAACCCATGTTTGCCACAACAACAGTCACAAAACACAGCTTATGTTTCTGGGCCGTGAGGTTAGCAGTTACTGCATTGTCCTCGCTGGAAATTTACAGTTGCTCTATTAACAGGAAGCATTGTAATCTCTTGGATATCTTCATAGGTATTTCCTGTGTCGGCATATTTTTAGAAAAGCCCTCCATGACATCCAAAAAACGGTCACTTCATTTCCTAGTGAGCACTTCCAAGCTTTCCAGTTGTTGATGGAGGGGTGCTTCAGTAGGAAGGCAGCTAACTGGTTCTTACGTGGTGCTTGAAGTGTATGCTTATGGTGAGGTATTCAGAAGAGCAGTTACACAAATGGAGTATTTCTGGTTTCTTTGTCAATGTGAAACGCCAAGCAATCTGCTGCAAATGAAGTACCATTACTGTGCTGCCATCCTTGCTGGTGAGCCTGCTGCCTGGCTTCTTGAGGGTACTGTGCAGGAGAGCAAGTGGGAATAATGCAGCCTTTAAAATTCCAAGGAGCAAGTGGAGAAGAACAAGCTGCTGCTGCTGGTCCGTTAGGAGCTTTTGGAGAAACCTGGTGGAAAGTGGGAGGATGGAGGTGCACCAGTTGTGAGCGTCTCAGGAGCAGCTGAGGTCCTGTCCAGACAAAGCTCTGCAGAGTGGAGTGCCTGTGCCCTGCTGCTTGGGGTCACCTAGAAAGTGCACAGAGCCAGCTGCAGGACATGGAGGGAGGAGAAATACTTCTCACTAAAGAAGTTAGGCATCATAGGGCTGAGGATGGTAGCATCATCACCCCATACTTACTCAGGACTTTGCAGGTCTTTTTAAGGAAAAGATTCCTCCGGAAGAATTTTTGACCAACTGGTACCTGTCTTAAAAGACCTTAAGGTGTGTTTTCACAAATCAAGATACTAATGTGTTTCGGGCCAGTGCAGAAAATGCACCTAGTGATGTTAAGTGTCCTGACTGACACACGTACTTGAGAGGAGAAAAGAGTTTTTGTGCCTCAGTGTGTGTGTGAGAGAGAGAGTTGTGCTGGAGTCCTACCATGGGAGTGCTGTGCTGGTTTTTAATTCTTTTTATTGTTTGGAGATATCAAATATTATACATTGTCTTTTATACATTTGTTTGTGATGGTTCATTGTTGTCTATCTCAAGTGGAATAAAATATGTATGAATTTTTAGTGCAGTACTTAAATTGTTTCTTAGCGCAGTGTTCAATTAATTCTGCATATTTGATTTTTGTTGTCTTCAAACCACATTTTTCTACAAAACACGTTAATGAATTAATTGTTTTGGGCTTTTTTTTAGGTGAAAAAGAATGGATTATCAGAAACGCTCAGCCAGGAAGAAAGAAAGAGACAAGAGGTACTCTTTTAAAGAAAAAATGTTCTTTTATGTTGATAACTCAGGGCTGCACTGCATGTCTGGTTTGGTGCTCTGTGTTGGTTCCAAAGGAGAGGAGCCCAGCATGCTGCTCCCTGCCCTGGGGGGGGCTGCTCTCTCCCCTGCTCAGAACTGTGATGCATGCAGTGTGCTCCATGCAGCAGGGCACCTGCTTGGTGCTGCTCACTGGGAGCAGCAGATGTGTAATATTAACTTCGTGTTCACAGAGGTGGGAGGTAGCACAAACAGGGCAACTTCTTGCATTGCCCTTCAGCTGTAACTCACCTCGTGAACCATTCTGAATGGGATCTCTGTACCCCAGCGTTCCTAATGTGTTTCCTTTTGCACTGAAATAAACTGGGAGCATCCACGCTGTCAGCAGTACAGGAAGCAGCAGCAGTCACTGATGCAATTCTCTTTTCTCTCTGTCCCTTTCTATCTCTGTCCCTCTGTCTCTCTCCTTTTTTGCTCTTTTTGTTCTCTTTATCTGCTTTCCCCTCTCTCCTTACTTACAGGGGTTATGTCAAAAAGAATGAGAGGTGTTGAAAAGAATAGCCTGACCTAGCCAGCTATTATATCCCTGCAGCTCTTGAGGTATGTCCTTCAACAGAAAACAAAAAAAGAAAAAAAGTGATGTTCTGTCTTGTGGTTTGTTTTGGGGTGGATTTTTGTTGTTGTTTTGGTTTTGGAATAGCAGCAGAATTACCTGCTGTGGTCATTTGCTCCAAAATCTTCATTTCGCTTCAGGACATACCTTGGTGAGCATAGTGGGGTGAGATCTGAGTGGGGCTTCCCATGGTGCTCACAGGTGTGTGCAGCAAGCCTCACACCCTGGTACAGCAGTGACCTGCAGCTGTGGTGTTCATATACAGATACTGAAACGTTTCCTGTGGCATATGCATGATGTAGACCATAGGAATTTTGTTTGTTTTTAATAATCCTGCATTTCCTTGGCTATCTTCTTCTGCTTTTTTGGGCTGTGAGCAGTTGAGGCTGTGTGTTCTGGTCTTCTGTCCCTCCTGCTCAGAAGCTCTGAGTCACATGGCCTTTATTTTGGTCCTCATGTCCTCAGGAGCCTGTGGTCTGTATGTCCTGAAGCCATGTTTGTATCCCCTCAAAGACAACAAGTTCTTCAGCTGTCTTTTAAATACAAAGTCTTCAAATGTCACCAAATTAGTTTGTTTCAGCTTGAGGGTTTTTATTTGAATATTAGAGGCCTATCTTTTCAGAGTGAAACTAAGGAATATTTTTACGACGTAGTTGTACTGTCAAGTCATGTTATTTCTTTAAAATTATCTTTTATCAATCATTTTATTATTTCTTCAATTTGCTTTTTAGAGTCTGGTTACATTATTTTTGCCATCATTATACATTGTCACTAAAGAAAACCATATTTTTTTGTTTGAGAGAGTGAAGATTGGAAATGTGATGGTGGGCAAAGGCCCCAGTGCCCTTCTTAGGCTCCTTTCTGCCTGTGGTCAGCCCTGCTAGCTGATATATCTGCTGCCAGGGTGGAAGTACATCTCTGTTCTCCCGGGTGCTGAGGCAAGTGTGCTTGGTGGGCAATTTCACATTAAGCATCACTTTTGCATGCATTCTTGCAGAGTAGTGTTTGCTCTCATGAATAACATGAGGTGCTGTAGCTGTTACCCCCCTGCTGCTGCATCTCTGCCTGCATTCCAGCAGCTGTTGAGGTAGGCAGGAGGATGGAGTGATGCTGCTGAGCCACGTGTTGGTTGGGCTTCCTTCCTTGTGTGTGCATTGTCCCTCTAGGTTTTCTGTGAAGCTGATGAATCTTAATGGCTTGAGCCCAACCTGATCAGCCTTAAGGGCTTGAGGTAAAACAGCTGCTTCTTCTGAAGAAGGCGTTTTGGAAGGGTAGGAAGCATTTTGAAGGTACAGTGTGGGAACACTGAATCTCACGTTATCCAGGAGAAACTGTATGTGATCAGAAGCTTACTTCAGTAACCAGCCGAATTCTCTAGACTTAAACTCTTGAGAGAGAATGTCTCCAACAGAATTTTAGTTTCGTTCTTTCCCAATGTTGTTCGTCTCAGCTGCAGGCTGGGATTATTCAGCATGCTTGTAGTCTCTCTTGGTTTTATATCTTATGGACAGAGCCTCTCTAGAGCATCAGACCACCTACGCGAGCACCTTCTGTAGTCTGTCACTCATAGACCCTTTCTCTTTCTCTCTTTCTGTCTTTCTGTTTATGGAGCCATGGTCATCATCCTTTCTAAATACTCAGGTTTGTGGTATTGCATTTAAAGTTGGGCTGTCTCCTGTCATTTAAGGATGCTTGGAAAAGTTAATTGCAAATAACTAATGAAGTGATACATGTGAGTATGAACACCAGTTACAACACAGAATTGTATTAGCTCTGCTGATAGTATTATCCCTTGTTAGCTTTGCACAGGGGATCACACTGGTGACAAATGCCATTTGGTGAAGCTTGTGACAGAAGTGTTCTTGAAAATTTTTTTATGATTTTCCTACAGTGCATATGTGTACAAAAACTGTAGTGGACTAACAGCCAATAAAGTCTGGAGGGGTTAAAAGATGTCCAAAAGCTGGATAGGCTTCCCTGTCAGAGATGGACATGTCCAGTGGAATGAGGATTTCAAAGTCCAAGAGTCCACTGGGAGGTTTGCTGTGAGTGCAGCCAGCCGGGGAAGGCTACGAGGCTGTGTGCTCTGAGCAGTGGGATGGCAGCGGGCACTGGAGGCTGCTGTGTGATCCCAGTGCCTGGGGACTGGTAACTGATGGCAGAGGAGACAGGCTGCCACATTCCTGCCTGCCCAGCCCTGGGCTTGGCCGTACTGCAGGCGTCCCAGCTTCTAAGTGGGTGCTTTGAAAGTGGCCAATGTATCAGTGTTGTGGTACATGTCTAAACCCTGCATTTTGCAGATGGTTTTGCTTTCTGCAGATTCTTGGGTAATCAGAGTTGTTAGCTAAGAATGTTTCTAAGCAAGTAACTTACCAGTTTCTCTCTAAAGAAGGCAGCAGCCGAGTCTGGCTGGTGAACGGTTGTGTTACTGATTCTAAGTTTCCAGTCAGGCCACAGAGACAGGCATGTGTTTTTAAATTACAGACAGACAAACAGAAAAGCCTCTTCTAAGTATGAACAGGGAGTGATCACCGCTGGTGTTACATTTTTGTCTTCAAACACCTTTTGCAGTTGTTTTAAAAAGTCTTAATACAGCTTTTTGTCCCAGTGTGAAATCATTCATTTCCAAGGGTAATTGATACAGATCTCATGGAAATGAAAACTCGTGTTACCGTTTTTAGCTCGCATCCATCACCTTCTCTTTGCTTCCCTCCACAAACAGAAAGGACCCAGCCTCATCAGAAGTAACCCTTCTCTTTCACCCCTCCACTTCGCAGGCCATATTTGAAGTGATTTCTTCTGAGCATTCTTACTTGTTGAGCTTGGAGATTCTGATCCGGATGTTTAAAAATTCTCGGGAGCTGAGCCTCACAATGACCAAAACGGAGAGCCACCACCTGTTCTCCAATATTACAGATGTTTATGAAGCAAGTAAAAAGTAAGTGTACAAATGCAAAAACTGTTTTTTGATTGTACCTGAGGGTGACTGCCTATAATCAAAATGTCTTTCAAGCAAGAAATGAAATGTAGCATACAAAGTAGTGTTGTCACTGTTACCACAAAATGGAGCAAGAGCCACAAGGTAAAGCTTTTGTGGAAAGTTTGGGCCTGGGATGTAAGAATGTGCAGTCAAATGTTTGCACCTGTTGTAAAAAAGTAATTGAATTAGAATGGACTTTGGTTCTCTGTGCCAGGATGTCTGCAGTGCTAAGGATTTGCCTTAGCATAAAGCAAAAGCTACGGTTTTGGTTTTACCAAGCACAGATTTCTGCATGTGTGATACAACCAAGGCTCTGTTAGTTTGGATTGTATTTTCCTGCTGTATCTGGCAGGCAGCCCCTTGGGTAGGAGAGCTTTGATCAGTACTGCTCATGGTATGTGGTAGTATTTGCAGGCTGTGCCTTACTTGTCCCGAGAGGCAGCTTGTTCTTGTTTGGACAAATCAAATCTTCTCTTGCTGGAATTCTTTGTTCTTAAATGTAACATCTGTTTTCTTTTCTGACTGTACCATGTAGCAAGGAGAGTTGCAGGTAGGCTGAGCTAGAGATGTCCAGTTATATTTTAATCACATAAATCTGAGTTTCCTACTTGAATCTCAGGTGATTTTAAAGTGCTAAACATCTCTTCCTGAACTTTCGTGCAAATATGAAGATAGAAAAAATAGTGGTGAACGTGCACAGCAGTTTGTCAGTCTCACTTTGTTCCTATGTTTGAGCTCATGTTTTGTGGAATAGACTTTGGTATTAATGTATCTAAAAAACAGTAGAGGCAGGAAGAATGTTGTGTATTTCTGTAGGAATAAGCATCGTTGGCTTCTGGATGGTTCTTAAGCTGGCTCTTGATACATTGAGCAGTCACATTGAGTTGTGCAGTCTATCAAATAAAACTTACCTTGCCCCTATTAAACTGTTCAGGAGTTTAATACTTGCCCTTAGGAGCTGACTCTTGCAGTGTTGTCGTAAGTGAGTCAAATCTGTTTACTTTCTGCTTGGTACTCAATGTGCAGCACGCTGTGCAGCTCTGCTATCTCCTATGTAAATAGCACAGGCACTGGGAGCAGCACTGTGCATCCACAGCACATGGCAGCAGAGGCTGCTCAGATCTGCTCTGCTTTTTTCTTCTCTTTTTTAAGTTTATTTTTAAATTTCTTCCCTACAAAGTCAGCGATGGAGAGGATGGATACAGTATGCATAGAGCCTGACGAGGAGGCAGTGCTGGCAGGTCTTCCGTGGTGCAAATAGTGTGAAGCCTGTCTTATTATTGCTGATAATTACTGTCAGAATCGTTTAATATTGCCTGTGCACATACATGAGCACTCAGAGTGTATTTCAGAGTTATGAATACTGCAAATTCTTCTTCAAAAATTTATTTCATGAGGTTTTGCTTAATGGTAACTTGTTTGTTGCTTTAGTGTGATCAATAGCAGCACCAGAAGTTGAATTACTATCACTTATGTAACTAAAAAATAGAAATGTGTCTGCTTCTTTTCTGGCACCTTATTTCCAGTTTGAAATGAAGCTGAAGGATAAAATGTTGTTTGATCTCCTACAGTGTAAGTGCCCCTTGCTTTCCTTGTGGAACACAGAATATTTGCCTCATTTCTGACATGGGCAGTGGTTGGGGGGGGCTCTGCCAGGCAGGAGTGTTTCTGGAATCAGCCTTTTCCACAATTCATCTTTCTTTCAGTCCCTTTTCTTTCATCCCCTTTGCTTCCTTCTTGCAAAAATGATGTTTTTATGAATTTTTTTTCACTAAGTCTTCATTTCCCTTTGTAGAACTTCTCAAGTTCCATGTTCTAAGCCCTGGTGACATCCTTTCTTGGCTCCCATTTCTCCGAAGCCACACGTGCTGTGGAATTTTAAATCGGTTTTGCAGACATTTGAATTCATGCCTTCTAAATTTATGCAGTAATAAGGTTTTATCCCATGGAGCTTATATGTTAGAGGGTCTCATGTGTTGTGTCAAGTAGAAACTTGTGGTAGGAGCCGTGTGATAGGCACATGTTTGAGCTTAACTCAGTTACGTCCCAGTATCTCCCCGTTGCTTTTTGCTCGTCTCCTTTTCCTACAGTCAAGATCTGTTGATGGAAGCTGGCTGTTACTGGATCCCACAGCCACTGCAGGGAGGAGAGCTGTTTGGCAGCACTGTTGTCAGAGGTGCAGGTTATCCAAGCCCTTATTTGCTAGGAGTAGTACTTTTAAAGGCTTCTGCTTGTCTGCAGTGTGACTTGTAAAAGTAGAGTATCGTGAGCTGATTTTTTGCTAGGGTTTGTAGAAACATCATCTGTTAGGGGGTAACTGCTATCTTCTTTAGGTAGCTTAATAGAAATGAAAGGTTAACGAGCCTGGAAACTTTGCTGCTGCTTTGAATTGGTTCTGTAAGAAGCAGTGGAACATAGCAGTATGGCTAAGCTATGATTGTTTTTCCTGTTCTCAGTGACTGAGTCTTCAAAACCATTAAATCAATCCGCTTCTGAATTTCTCAGTCAAAATGTTTAAAGCAGAGGTGGGGATAGCAGTGTGTGTATGGGAATTCTTAAAAACCCTTTTGGTTTGTAGTCCTCAGAGGAAGTGGGAGGGGAAAAAAAGAATGGAAAACCCCAGGCTGCCCTAAAATTATTCTTTTTGGTCTGGAAAGTGTAATGGCTTAAGAACTTGATTTAGTACTACTTGGAGTGAAATTGGAATTCATAACCCTTCTTAAACTTAAATGAAAGCATATTTTGTTTCCTGAGTTACGCAATACTGTTAAACTATAACAAAATGTGCTCGCTTTCTGCAACCTCACTTGTGTAAATAATGCAAAGGGGATTTAAGAAGCCTCTTTCTCAGTACCTCCGCTCTGCTTCCAAGGTCTTCCACGGGAGCAAAACCCCTCCTTTTGTTAGAAAAATGTAACAAAATCAGACATCTGTGCCGCTAGATGTGCTCTGTTTTAAGCTGCCTTTAGTTTTCTAAACAAGACAAAAGAAATGTGAGTGCATGGGTGCAGTTATCAGTGCTTTGGCTTGCTCAGACAAAAGTTTAGTGCAGCTGAAGAGTGTGGATGGATAGAAGTGGTATCTTCAGTCAGAATTGCTTAGCAGTTATATGTAGAAACTTTGACTTGGAACAGACTTAGTGGAGCTCTCCAGAATGCCAGGAGAGGCCCCTGTGCATGACGAGGCTGTTGTAACTGAACAACACTGCCTTTGTTGGAAGATGAATGCAGACAGTAAAGATGGTCTCTGCTTTTGGGAGGTCACTGGGGTGCTCCTAACAAAGAAGAGTTGGTCTGAACTGTGCATGCAGCATACTTGGTGTGTTTAAAATATCCTAACTCCTTGATGTTGTATTTGCTGTGTATGTAACGTGATTCCTCCTAGCTGGTAGGGCACAAAATCACACGAGTTGCATTCAGGGTCAGTGAGAGCTGTTATGCTGAGATGTAACCTGCTGGGCATGCCGTGGCTCAGCTTGTTTGGAACTAAAAGCTTGTGTAGTGTTAGAATGCTGTGCAGTCGGTCTTAGCAGTCAGAACTCCATCCAGCCTCAGTGCACCGTGCAGGGAGGTCAGGTTCCCAGGAAGGGGCTCCTGGGAAAGAGGAGCTGCAGGGAGCAGTGAGGGAAACATCTCCAGCAACAGTTGCTCTGAAGGTCAAACCCACAGCTTTACAGCAGGTGGAAAGCTTTGGTGTGTTTCTCTTCCTGCCATTAGGGCAGCAAAAGGCTTATGTGTATGCAGAGGTGAGCATTAGCAGAGAAAGGCACAGACAGGGCTTACCAGGACAGATTCAGACTGTTGACTCTGCATGTTGACTTCAGTGGAGGAAACTGTGTGGGTTGTGAGGTAGCTCAGCATCTTATCTGAGTACCTAAATTAAATTCTCATGTGTGAATATATCGTTGGATCCAGGTAAGCTTTTTATAGTTGCTTCTTCTATAAGTTAGATTGACGCTTCATCTTTTTCCAGTATCCTTATGTATGGCAAGCCTTAATCTTTCTCCAAGGGATAACTTGGTGTCAGTGTTCATTGAGGACATGTCTGCATTGGGTCAGTTAACAGCCAATAGAAGCACTACTTTTAGAGAAGGCAGAGTTTTGTTACTTTATTTATTTGAGTGGTCACGGGCAAAAAAAAAAAAAAAAAGCCAAATACAGTAATAATAATAATAACAATAACAACAATTGAAGGACTGTGAGAAGACCCCAGGTGATTCAGGTGAGCTGTAATGAAAGCGATCTGTTCACAGGCTGCAGCTGACTGGTCGGATTTCCCAGTACCAGTGGTGTAACAGTCAGTACCATTCTCTGCTCCCACGTGGCCTGACAGTCTCAGTGCTGGGTTTATCACAGTTGTTGCTGTAGCCAGCTGTGAAGGAAGCTGGTACCACTGAGCATCATTCCCAGGTGGCTCAGTGACACTGCAGTGTGTTTGGGGAGCAGTTTTCTGCTCCTGTAAGGAAGGCTGCTCGTACTGGAGGCTTTGTAGGTGGATAAATGTCTCCCTTTTCAGTAAGCCTGAGTGGTAGCGCTGTGTATAGTGGGCAGAGAAAGGCAAAGGAGGAATTAAAACCCTCCCACAGGATCTGAGTGCTGCGAGGTAGCTGTGTGCAGGTGGGTGCAGGCACTGACCCACAGCTGGTGCTGCTGACCACTGGGCTCAGTGTGAGGCTCTGGTTCTCAATGTGTGGAGCACTGCTGAGTTTACTCTTTGTGATTTCTGCCTTTTTTTTTTTATGTTTTATTGCTGATGGGACCACTTTTGATTGTGAGGAGGCTCCAGGGAGCCCAGAGAGTGCACTGAAGAACTGTGAGTCCAAATACCACTTTTTTTCTCTAAATTTTAGGTGCTGACAGAACACTTTCAGGCATTTGTATCACATGATGACTTGGAGCAGTGAGTTTATTTTGGTGTTTCATCAGCTTTCCTCCTTTGGTTTGTTTGGACATCAGCAC